ACGGCTACTGCAACTGCCGGCGGACCTACTTCTTTCTGCACAGGCGGCAGCGTACTACTCACGGCCAATACAGGCGCCAACCTTACTTACCGCTGGCTTCGGACAAATGTGCTCATTACCGGCGCAACCGCTGCTACCTATACGGCTACCACTACCGGTAACTACGCAGTAGTAGTGACCAATACAACAACCGGCTGCTCGGACACTTCCCGTCCGGCCATTACGGTTACATCGTCGGCCATGCCATCCGCAACGCTGACAACAGTGGGTGCCCTCACTTTCTGCCAGGGAAGCAGCGTACGTTTTGATGCCGCTAACGGCACAGGATTCACTTATACCTGGTATAGAAACACGGCAATCATTGCAGGCGCAACCACATCAAGCTATACGGCCACAACGGCAGGCACTTATTATGCAGTCATTACCAATGGCGCCTGTACCACCACTTCCGAAACCAAAACAGTAGCGGTAAACCCAACACCTGTGGCGGCGATTACGGCGGCAGGCACTACCAGTTTCTGTGACGGTGGCAGCGTAGTGCTGAACGCCAATACCGGTACCGGACTCACTTATACCTGGAGAAGAGGTGGGATTGCTACGGGTGCCACATCGGCTTCGTTTACGGCTACAACCAGTGGCAGTTATGATGTGATCGTATCCAACGGCACTTGTACCGCAACCTCTAATACAGTGATCGTTGTTGTGAGCACACCACCAGCCCCGGTTATTACATCATCAGGCGCCACGGTACTCTGCCAGGGAGGCAATGTAGTCTTGAGCACAACTTCAAATCCTGCTTATACCTACCAATGGCTGCGCAACGGAAGTGCTGTTTCCGGCGCCAATAATGCCACCTACGCTGCGACGCAGGGTGGCAATTATGCGGTTACCGTGACCAACGGTACTTGCGTGGTGACTTCTGCGGTATTACCATTGACGGTAAATGCGCTGCCTCCTGCACAAATATTACCACAAGGCGCAACCACCTTCTGCGAGGGCGGTGCGGTAAGCCTGCATGCCAGTATTGCAACCGGCTTCAGCTATCAGTGGTATCGTAATACAGCGGTTATCAATGGGGCAACCAATGCCGTTTATATAGCTACGGCCTCCGGCGATTACAGTGTTGTCATCTCCGATCCCAACTGTTCTGCAACAGCACCGGATGTACGGATCACCGTCAACCCCGTTCCGCAAACACCAGCTATTGTGGTGACCAATGGCACGACGCTGACAACCGGCAATTTCATTACCTATCAGTGGTATCTTAACGGCACGGCAATTGCCGGCGCAACCAACCGCAGTCATACCGCCACTGTAAACGGTAATTATACGGTAGCAGTGACCAACTACGCTGGTTGTGTGGCGACTTCCGAAGCACAGGCAATCGCTAATGTGGGTATCAATAATCCTGAAAAATCAATGGTACGACTGTACCCTAACCCAACCAGCGGCCTGCTGTATATTGATGCAGACAAAGCGGTCAATATCTCTATCCGCAGCGTAGATGGTAAGGAAGTAATCCGTAAAGAAAATGCACAGCAGCTGAACCTGACACCACTTGCAGATGGCGTTTACCTGATCCGCATCACCGACAAAGCCGGACAACTCATCAAAACAGAACGACTGGTAAAGACCCAGAAATAATTTGCTTAAACAACCGTTCTACCAAAGCCCCCGGGGAAAACCCGGGGGCTTTTAATATTGAGCACCTAACACAAAATATATTTACAAATAAAACAAAGCAACAATAACAAACAAAGGCTAATTTTCATTACTTTAGAAGTTACAAAGTCGCTTAATATGGAACTAAACTTTAAACTTGTGCTGCTTACTGCACTCATCCCCCTTATTATTGGTTTTGTGTGGTATCATCCAAGGGTTTTAGGGCGCATCTGGCTGCGTGTCAGCGGCACCCGTCCGGGTATGCCTACCGCCGGGAAAATGCTCCTGATCGTTATACTGACTTATGTATTTGGCTGTATGCTCTCCATTACATTAATGGGCCTCGTTATTCATCAGCTCTCTCTCTATTCGATACTGGCCAATGAACCTGGTTTGAAAGATGCTAACTCCCCACTGAGTATGATGGTCAGAGATTTTATGGCTAAAT